AAAAAAAAAAAAAGACAAATGAACTTATTTATAAAACAGAAATCACAGACATAGAAAACAAACTTATGGTTACCAGGAGGGGAAGGGGGTGGGAAGGCATAAATTGGAAGTTCGAGATTTGCAGATACTAACTAACATACATATAAAATAGATAAACAGCAAGTTTATACTGTATAGCACAGGGAACTATATTAAATATCTTGTAGTAACTTATGGTGAAAAAGAATATGAAAACGAATATATGTATGTTCATATATGACTGAAGCTTTTTGCTGTACACCAGAAATTGACACATTGTAAACTGACTATACGTCAATAAATATATATATATTTAAAAAAAATTTTAGCTCAACATGGCTTCTCTTTTAATGCAGTGTATTTAAGCCACAGAGTGCTACATGTCAGCCAGAAGTGACGGAGGCTGTCACAGGCCTTGGTAGAAAAACATGAAAGGTGGCACAACTGATTTGCCTTTGCCACACAGAGTACCAAATACATGTGCAAATTTATGTTATTTTCAGTGTTTCCTGCTTTTCCATTAGGGTTAAGTACCTTACTGAGCAGAGCCATTGGTTTAAGTAAAACATATCCCACTGATAGCTTCAGTTTAAGTGGGAAGACAAGATGGTTGTATGAATAAGTATTGTTGGGCCTTAACAGAAGTTAAGGTTTTGAGTAATGAGAGGGGAAGAGGCTAAAAAATGGTGTGAACAAAAGTTTGGAGATTGAAACCCCCAGATACTTGAGGCTGAGTGGCATTATGTTGGACAGAACAAAGGGTAACAGTAGGAATCAAACTTAATAGCTAGACAGAGCTGGAACACAGAGAACCTTAAGTGCTGGGTTAAGGTGTTTCGGCTTTTCTTCTGAATGCAGCAGAGGATCACAGAATTTTTAAGCGAGGAAAAAAAAAATAAAGGAGTATTTTACGAAAGGTTAATCTGGCCATAGGTGAATTGGAATTGATGAGAAAAATAAATGATAAAGAGACCACTGAGAAAGCTGTTACTTAGTGCAAAAGTGAAATACAGTCCAAGAGTAAATATTTGTCCAGAGGTAAAGCCTGAACGTGTTTTGTTGCCATTAAAATTGTGTAAGGTATCCATATTAAAAGCAAATGTTCTTGAAAGATTTGAGTTTATCTCATAATCTTATCTGTATTCCAGAAGAGCATCAGATTTGTCTCTGGAAACATCGGTGGCTGAGATGAAGGAATACATAACAAAGTAAGTGAAGATGAGTGACCTTTGTTGGAAAATCTAGATTCATCTAGGGAAAATAGCTAAACCTGGGAAAAATGAATAGTAAACATCCTGTTCAGTGTGTCAATACTAGTATATCAACACTGGAAGTTAGAAAGCTGCACCTTGGGATGTATGGGGTGTACTGATGGCCAATTTCATAGAATGAGGTCTAGAAACTAAGGATGTTAATTTGATTTTTAAGAACTCATGTTTGATTGAATTAATATCCTCTGAATTGGTCATGCTTTCCAATCCTTTTATGACCTTTATATTCACATCTTAGAACCAGCGTAGACACCTAATATACTTGTTGTTGCTCTTAGTGATTCAGAATGAAATGATGAAAAATTAACTGCATTTTTTTCTGATTCTGTAGATTTTCTTTAGAACGTCAGAGTTGGGACCAGCTGTTGCTGCGCTACCAGGAGGAGGCTGAAAAGATCATATCCAGGTTATATCTATGACTAGAAATAGAAAGCTTTTACCTAGATTTGAATTGATTTCAGTTCTGTTAGCACAAATTGAATGATGAATCCATTCTTACAGGCCAATCAACTCATCAAATCTCTGTAAAGTGTATATTAGCATTCTGACTATAAATGGAGAATAAAAGGGAAGGGAAGGTAGAGTTTCACTATTATTCAGCCAAAGAACAGAACTGCCTCTGTTCTGTGACCTTAGCTGCTGTTCCACATCCTGCGGAACACAGGCACATCTCTAATCTGGGGCTGGGCCAAGAACAATATCAAAAGTCTTCAATGAGCACATAGCTTTTGAGTTGCAGCTGTGGGAGAGAACCCTGGCCTTGGAGATCCAGACATGAAAGAAGGGATGGAAGAGGGTGGAGAGAGAGGATCTTTGGGTCTTGAAGGCATAAGAAAGTGGAAAAGTGCTAGATTTTGATTTGGTTTTAGTTTAGTGATTTTAAGCTTTATTTTCCAAACAGAATCTTAGCTAGAAATGTCACTAAAATATTAGCCAAAATCGTAACTGCAAAACTGGCCTCTTATTAGAGAGCTGCTTTGAGGAAGACAGTTTGAAAAACTTACTCAGTCTAGGCATTGATGGTTATCATTTTCTTCACCCTTTAAATGTTCTATTTATGAAGATAGATAATGTATAAAATGGCAGTTTCAGAATAAAAACTTGATGGAGCATAGCTTAATAGTTAAGAGGAATGCTTCTGGAAACAGACTGTCTCTATTCAGATTGTAACTACTCCTTAGTTCTGTGACCTTGAGCAAACCACTTAATCTGAAGTTCCTCATTTGAAAATGGGGATAATATTAGTACATACCTCATTGGCTCATTATACTTGTTAAATGGAAAGTGCTTAGTGTTTGGCAACCAGTAAGCACTCAATAAATTGTAGTAGTTGTTATAAAGAGTCATCATCAATTTTCATGAACTCTCCATTATATTCAGTTATTTTAGATAATTGAAGTGAGACAGCATCTTTTTGGTAAAAGATCATAGACATTGGCTTCAGGCTAGCAAGCTTTGGCTTTATCCCAAGTGTAGTCCTTTTTGTAAATGGACCTTACTGTTAGGTGGAGTTGAATAACTTGAAGCCTCTAGCATCTCCTGGAGTCCAGTGGTATAAAAACATTAATACTGGATAATTATTTAAGAATACCCTGTTAATAAGAGAGCCTGTACTTAACAGTGGGGTAGAAGAATGTTGATTCAGGTTAATAAAGCCTTGTAGGAGGTTTTTTCCGAGGTAATCTTTACTGTTCTCCCCAGAAAATTACTATAAAATTACATGAAAGCTCTTTTTTGTTTTGTTTTGTTTTTAGAGGGTCAACTGAAACCAAAAATACTGAAGTTGAAGTGGGACCTACAACATATCTTAGGTCTTCCCAGAGTGAAGTCCTTAATACAAAGCCTGACTACCAAAAAATATTACAGAACCAGAACAAAGTCTTTGATTGTATGGAGTTGGTGGTGAGTTGGGTCATGATTCTGTGGTTGAGTTATCCAGCTTTGCTACCTTGTCATCCTTGGAAATTAAAAGACCTGGAGAGTATGTGTAATAAGATAAGCGTATTCAGCTCTACCTAGGAAAACATGGAGAGACAATAAAAAATAAATAATGTTAAGTGCTAATAAATCAGGTGGAGGGAGAGAATGTACAGAGAGCAGTTGCCGTATAGAGGGGTTGTTAAAAGCCCACTAAGGTGCCACTTTAATAGAGACTAGAAAGAAATGAGGAAATGAGCCATGAGTACATTTTGGAGAACAGTATTTTATCAACCCGAGTATTAACAGGAAGTAGATGGCATTTGATATAGGGGAATTCAAGGAGAGTCTAGTGACAAAGGGTCCTAAGTGTAAAGGTTTGGATATAAGGAAACCAAAAATGAAGTGAAGTGAACTGGGGCTTAGAGGCAGCTGAGCCATTACTACCCCTAGGCCTTGGTGGGGGAAGAACGGTTCCTGTAGCACCTGGCGGGGAGTCGTATATAGTGGGCTCCCTTCAGAGAGTCATGACCTTCAGTTCAAGATGACCCTCCTGGGAGCTGGCCTGGGTCAAGATACTCTGACCTCATTCAGCTGCCTCCCACTTGGCTCCCTCTTGGCCAAGCCCACCCAGAAGCCACAGGACATGGGATCCTACTGGAGGTTATGCAGCTCAGCCTGCTGGTGTGTAGAGCAGGGTCATGAGTGCAGTCTGGGTGTGGAGGGGCAAACAATAGTGTCTGGCATAAGCATTCCAGGTTGAAATAACCGCAGAAGCAAAGCTTCTGAGCAGGAGTGTGCCTGGTGTGTTTGATGAGCATCTAAGAAGTTGTGGACCCTTAGATTTCACCACTGTCTTCTCTGCAGATGGATGAACTGCAAGGATCCGTGAAGCAGCTGCACACCTTTATGGACGAAAGTACCCAGTGCCTCCAGAAGGTGTCAGTACAGCTCGGTAAGCCTGTCTGAAACGGACCAGAGCTCGCAGGGTTCTGTATCTAATAGCACTTCAGATACAAACTGCCTTTCCCTGTATCAGATGATTTTTTTTTCCCTCACAATAACTGTTATGTTGTGGGTATTCAAAATTGATTGGAAATTTGTAGATGTGAATTCCGTAGAAGCACAGTAGACTGATACTCAAATCTCTACAAACTGTTATTTTGGTAAATCCAAGAGTTAAGAAATACTCATTGCCTTTTATCCTTTTTCATTCTTCAGGAATCCACTGAGTGACACTGACATTGCTTCTCCATCACTTTTCCTGACCTCCTGCAGCCCTAAATTCTTTTCTGGGAATGGGTATAGCTCAATGGTAGAGTGCGTGCTTAGCGTGCACTAGGGCCTGGGTTCAATCCCCAGTACCTGCATTAAAATGAATGAATAAATAAATAGCTATACATACCTTCATTTTATTATTCATTGGATTGTGCTGTGGTTGTAGTTGCAGCTGGTTTTCCTACCAGACTGCCATCACATTTGAACTTGGAATGCCCTTTGGTATCTGGCACAGTGTCCAATATGGTAAGTTTTCAATAAATATTATTTGAATTAAATTGAATTTTTTTTCACTCCTTTTCTCTGCAGGGAAGAGAAGCACGCAACAATTAGATCCTTCACCAGCTCGAAAACTGCTCAAGCTTCAGCTGCAAAAACAACCTACCACACATTGCTCTAAATCTTGTCAGTGACCTTATGCAGCTTTTCTGCCACAAAGTGCTACTGTAGGTGAAAGAAATGGGAAGAGTGCCCCAGTGCACGGCAGCTGCACGGCAGTCTGAGCTGTGATGTCTGCCCCATTGCCTTTGAAGATAACTGGCTGACTGTATAGCACTTCAGTTTTTCTCTAAAAGTGATGGAATTTATGCATCTGAAAGGATGTTGTATAGACACTTTTTCCAAGAATGTTCAAAATGCTTGGCACTTCTGTTTTGGAATGACCTTCAGAACTAGTGGCCCATTCTTTTGAATATCCTTTGTGGTCAGGAACCTTCCTCTTGTGAAGATGTTTTGCAGGTTTTGAAACAACCCAAGTCATTCAGGACCAAATCCATGAAACATTTTAGGGGTCATTCTGGTAGTAAAGGAATGAGACTGATCTTTTAGTGTGGCTTTGAAGGTGATTTTAGGTAGAGGAGAGGTGAGCATTGTTTGCATTGTGTTGACACATATATCACTTCACAAGATGTCCAAATTGAAGGAGATACTACTCATTTTCTATATCCTGCTATCCATAGTGTGCTTTAGCTTTTGATAGTTGACATCCTAAGTTTTGGATTAGTGGTAAGAAGGGGTTAAGAACCTCTTTTCATTATTCTCTGTATTTGTTAATAATCTGCATTATAAGATTGCACATACTTAAAAGCTTTCCCTTGTCCTTATGTTTATTTTGAGTGTATAAAAAAATTAAAAGGCAGGGAAAGCTTAGCAGAAAATAGGATTCTTTGCCAGGATGCAGAAGTGAATAGTAGTGGAGAAACACCTCAGCATTAACTACAAATAAAACACCAACTACCTTATTGTTAATGTCTCTTATTCTGTGATCCTCCTATTAGGAGAAAACCCACTTCATTTAAATACCTGGCCATAATCCTAAGTCTTAAGCCTTGGCCTAAGTACCAGTTAGTGAGAGGTGGTATCTCCTTGCTTTGACTTACGTTCCTCACTCTCTCATATTTACAAAGCCCCTGCTATATGCCACGCACGGTTCCAGGAACTGGGGAGAGATCAAAGAACAAAAACAGACATGGGACCTCCTTTCATGATGCTCACAGTCTAGTGGGGACACAGGGAACGAGACCACTTCTCTGCAGAAGTGATGTTTTACTTGATTTGGGGAGAATAAATGAATTAAATAGGGCAGTTATTTGAGGTAAAAGGAGCATCATTTTGAAAGGCCTGAGGGGAGAATGAAATATTCTGGGATACTAAAAAAAAGAAAAAAGGTAAAGCAGAAATGCTGAGTGCCAATGTAAGAACCATGTGAGACAGAATTGAAAGTCATTGGTTTTAAGAGGGAGAGATGGGAATAGAACTTTATTTTTTAAAGAGCACTCCAGTTGATGTTTGGAGACAAGATAGAAGCAAGAAGGTGTGGGTGTGAGAGACCAGTTGGGCTACTGCAACGATCGAGGTGGAGAATGACAGCCTGTGCTGGGAGTTGGCAGTGGGTGAGTTGGGGGATTTGTTCATAGGTCTGGAACATAGACATGTCATCTGTGTTAAAAGCCTAACTCTGCCACTTACTAACTGACTGAAAAAGGTTATTTAACCTCATTTGTAAGATTGGGGGGACGACAGTATCTGTATCACAGGGATGCTATAAGGGTTAGACTAGATAACAGAAGTATAGAACAGCTGTACCAATGTGATGGAGGTGGGTAAAAGTTCTAACAACTGGGTGGGTGGGTGACAGCAGTTAATGACATGGGAAAGTTAGTAGTTGAATTTGGGATGCCAAACAGAAGTCACCTAGACTGTTGGAAATACAGGTGGAAAACCTGGACTAGAGATTAAAATTTGGAAGTTACTGATATCTAGTTATTAAAGCCTTAAGAATAGATAATATTGTCCGGAGTAGAGCAAGAAGGGAAACTGGACAGCCCTGGGGAAAGCTTTTAAGAATCAGAGGAATGGTGTTAATTGTCTATTCTTCCAGAAGCAGAGTACTAAAATGCAAAGAGTATAGAGATTGGAGTGAATCTTCATCCTTATCCTCAATTTCCTTATCTATAAAATGGGGAGAGACACCTCTCTCCAAAGGTGATTGTATCTCCCCTCATTTATTTATTACATTGTATTGCATTTTTTGTTGATAAGAATTTATTTAAACTCAAGAATAAGAAGTAATGTTTTTGTGTCTGCAACAGCGATACAAGATAGAGCACAGATACATTGTAAATCAACTATACTTCAATAAAAATAAAATATTATACGCACTAAAAAAAGCACAGAGAAAGAAAAATAAGCTCTGAGCACTCTATAAGCAGAGAGACCACAACGTGATGAGATAACTTCTACTTTTTGTCATTATAGATGAAGAACTCAGGCATGGAGGGGCTTAATAATCTAACTAAGGACATAGAGATAGGAGTGGGGTGTCACCTACAACCAATGTAGCACTCAGTAAATGTCAACAAACATAAATCATATGATAGTCTGTGTTCAAATTAATACTAATTTTCCCTCTTCCCAAATTTGGTTCAGGAATTGTGCTTAATAAATACAGACAGTTGCTCTCCTTGAGATGTTTGGTAGTATTCTTTCACTTGCCCTAATTTAGTTAAGAGAATATAAGTATTTAGTCAGTAATACTTAACACTAAAACAATAGATTAAATTATTAACTCTTTCAAGGAGTTCAAGGATTATGTCCTGTACATTTTGGTGTTACTGAATTTTGGGGTAATTAAGCTTAATGTGTATAATCATTCTGAAAAAAAGTCCATTTCTCATGCTGCACTCAAGGAGATGTGGCTAGCAGCTGTAAAAGAGGTGATATAGTGGAGCAGTGGGAATTAGGAGCCCTGCTTTGGATTCTAGTTCTTAAATTACTAGTTCATTCACCAAAAATTTACTAAGCCCTTTCTTTATGCCAAGCACTCTGCTAGGTACCGTGTGACCTTGGATACATCTTTAGGCTCATGCGAAAATAAAAAAGGATGCCATTTCCTGTAAGGGTTCTTAGGGGATTCATAAAGATGTGACTCAGCAGAAAGGGAGAAGGCAGCCAGACACAACACGGAGCGCCCCTCTGAGCAGTTCTAGATAAGATTCTCCAAGGCAAACCACCCCTTTAATCAGGGGAATACGTTCCAAGGCCCCTAGTGGATGCCTGAAACTGTGGACAGTACTGAACCCTATGTATGGTAAGATTTTTTCCTGTACATATGTGCCTACAATAAAATTTAATTTATAAAATAGGCACAGTAAGAGATTAACAACAACAAAATAGAACAATTAAATACAATAAGTTAGATGAATGTGGTCTCACTCAAAATATCTCATTGTACTGTACTCACTCTTACGATAATAGGAGATGATACAATGCCTTTGTGAGTGATTGGTTTGTGGTGAGTTAGGTTGGTGTTCCAGAAACAGCACGTGGCCTGAAGTTACATCCTTCACCTGGGTGTAGGGGTCTTAGCGCTTGTAGAAGAACTCAAATATACACTGTTATGTATATCCCTTGAGGAGGAACTAGGGACTCTTGGTGCACTATTTGCTTTTTCTCAGTTTCTGCATTCCCTCACATCCCTGAATAGTAACTGCTTGAATCTGCTCTTTGGAACACAGGGAAGGTCTAGGAGGCTGAAGCCTTTTCCCTGCAAACAAGAAACGGGGAACATAGAAAGGTTTTGTACCCAGGAGAGCCCCACAGGTTTTAGGTTCTGTTGGGCATCTTCTTCCAGAGAAGCCCAGTTTCATCACAGGAAGACCTGCTTTGGATGGTATCCCTTCTCTACAATCAGTTTCTTCAACTCTACTGGAAATGTGGCAGCAGATTTTTTGTCAGCAGATGCAGCCTCTCCAGTAATTTTTATATTTTTCAGTCCAAACTATTCCTGAATCCTTGTAATCCACTCCTTACTTGCAGTATATGGCTTGGTGTCACTTGTTTCAGGGGTCTCTTGCTGAAGTCTTTGTAAAGGCTTGAAACTAAGCAGGACACAATGGGGCTCTCTCGGGTGCAAAAGCCCCTCCATGTCCTCTGTTGTTTGTAGAAACGGGCTTTAGTCTCTCCTAGGCCTCCCTTGAGTTCCAAAGAGCAGATTCAGTTACTTAGGGAAGTGAGGGAATGTAGAAACAAAGGGAAGAAAATCAAGAAGCTATAGGGAATCCCAGTTCCTCTTCAAGGGATATACTTCACAATCTGACATTTATCTTTGAGTGCTGTGCAGAGACTAAGACCCAGGTGGAGGATGATGACTACATGCTGACCAGAATTATGTTGACCTCTGACTGACGGAACCAGAAGTTTGATGATTAAGATTCCTTAATCACCACCCTGTTACCTCACCACCAACCAATTAGAAGAAAGTTATGCATCCTGCCACCCTCACCTCAAATGTTTCCTTGAAAGTCCCTTCCCTGAAAGCCATTGGGGAGTTCAGGTCTTTTGACCTCCTGTAGACCATTCCTTGCTTGGCTCTGCAAGAAAACTTTCTCTGCTCCAAACTCGTGTTCAGTTTTTTGGCCTCGCAATGCATCAGACACATGGACCTGGATTCAACAACAGGTTCAGTGCTTGGGATGCAACACATTGTCAATCAGAATATGTAGTTTGTCCATGTCTTCTACCCACAAACTTAGTGCCTTTTCATTCTTAACTAAGCACCTTCTTAACTATGCACCGTGACCCTAACTTTTGCAGTTTGAGGTGTAACAGCAAAACTAGCACAAATTTCTTCTTTCTTTTTCACAATTTCATGGATAGAAAATTCATTCTTGTAATAGAAAAAAACAAATCTGATTCCATATTAGATTTATTCCTTTGGCTTTAACCCTGTTCTCTCTTTCCTAGGTTTAGTCTTGCTGGTTCTGCACCTTTTATAAAAGAATGTTGCCTATAGCCTGAAATATACAGCACAGCCTATTCTCAAGGCTCTGACCTTAAAGGATATTAACACTTTTCCATTCGTATAAAGATAACAAGTTGCAGAATAGAAAATAGTATTTGTTTTGTTGGAGGTTTTACAGGGACACCATGATCTGACCTGCATGGACAGCTGCAAGAACAAAGGATTCCCAAGAACAAAGAATTCCTACGCCAAGAAGTTTGCAACAACCAAGCGTATCCCCTCCCCTTTTAGTATAAAAGGAACCTGAATTCTGACTTGGGGAAGATGGTTCTCCAGGACATTAGTCTGCCATCTTCCCAGTATGCTCACTTTCTGAATAAAGTCGCTATTCCTTGCCCTAACACCTTGTCTCCAGATTTATTGGCCTGTCCTGCAATGAGCAGAACAAGTCTGGACTTAGTAACATTCTTATTGTAGATCTTAGCAACCTCAGCATATAATTTTTTTTCTTTCCTCATTAAGTTGAGAACTTTAACCTTTTCACTTAAGGGAAGCCCTTTATGACCTCTTTTTGGCTTATCCAAGTCACCAGCAATACTACTCTTGGCACTTTGGGGCCGTTATTAAGCAAAATAAGGGGTTACTTGAACACAAACAGTGTAATACTCAGATAGCTGATCTGATAAGAGCTCACCAGTAAATGCTCAAGGGGCAGGTAGCAATACACTCTGGGTATGCTGGACAAAGGGATAACTCACTTCTCCATGTAGGAGAGAGCAGAACCAGAGATTTCATCACACTTCTCAGAACAGCACAGCAATTTAAAACTTCAGAATTATTTATTTTCCACTCAATACTTTCAGACTCAAGTTGGCCCTGGAGTTACTGGAACCACGGATAAGGGCAGAAACAGCTGTACATCAAAGATGGCGCCGGCTCAGCCACCATCTTCGTAGTTCCCTAGGTGGGCACACGGCGCGCATGCGCCGCCAGGCGGCCACAGCGCGCCTGCGCGGATTCAGAGCCGCCTCCTCCTTCCCACTTCAGCCGCCGCAGCTGCCGAGCTGAGGGCGGGTATCCAAGCCTCAGGTGAGTGAGCGCTTCAGTCGGGCTGGTGGGGGGGGACGTGCCTTGCTGCCTGCAGGGTCGGTTGTCGCTCTCCTTGCCTTCTCCTTCCTCGCCTCATCTCCCCGGCGTGGCTGGTCACTGGGTCTGCGCTGCCAGCCTCCGCCAGGTGCCTGGGCGCCCTCCGCTCTGCTCGCGTGGAGACCCAGGGCAGCCCGGCCTCTCAGCCGCTGCTCACCTGGGCGGCGGGGCCGGCGGCAAACCCGCAGGCGACAGCGCATAGGCGGCAGCGGCTGAGCCTCTGGGTACCCAACCCCTCGGTCTTAGGGACCCACGCAAGCGCGACCCTCTTTCCCGCTCCTGCTCTGCAGGCGGCGGAGCTTGGTGGGCCTCGGGTCCGGCGTTTGTCTACCCCATGTGCCCGGGAGCCAGGGCGCTTGAAAGATGGGCTATGAGCTCGCCCTGCACCCGTGGGGTCTTCGCGCCTCAAAGAGTACCAACTGGCTGGACCCCACGATGCGAGGGAGGGGCTCTTAGCCCCACTGCACAGATGAAGAAACTGAGGCACAGAGAGGTGAATGCCCTGCCCAAGGTCACACGCCAGACTGGAGGCTGGAATGGCTCTTGAAGTCAGGGTCTGGGGCTCTCAGGCCAGGCATTCGAAATTTGCTCTTGCACTTTAAAGAAAATTTGAAATACACTTGCATCTCTGGAGTTGCTTCTTCAGCGTCATAAAAGTGTGCTGCAAAAACAGTATTTTTTTGTTGTTGGAGTACAATTGAGGTGTTACTGCAATAATAGAGTAATGTTATTAATGAGAGCTCACGTTCATTCAACGCTTGCTGTGTGCCAGGGAGCTTGCTAACCATTTTAAGATTATCTCCATACTTTAGCTCTTCCCAGTGCGATGCATCCTCCCTTTTCATGCAGCCTTTTTTCCTGCAGAGCTGGCCTCCCTGTCACAGGTAAACTAGGAGCCTCATGGCTTAGGAGGCAGGGAAGCTCTCTCATGGTGGCTTACAGGCAGAAGAGGGGTAAGCCTTGTCTGCCTGCATCTAGATTTTGCCCCCAGAGGATATCATTAGCTTGCCTTTTCTGGCTGCCAGGACAGCAAGACTGGGATAGCTGGGCTGGTTGAATTTGGAGGTGACAGAGCAAATCTGGCAAGCACTCACCTTACCCTGGGGCTTTCTGGCTTTATCCCAATGCTGGGCTTGAACATCTCATTTAAGATAAAGTAAAAAGAGAAAGAGAGCATTGACAAAGTAGTGCCTCACTGATTTAAAGTCTCAAAGGGACAGCTGTAAAAATTTGTGAAT